GGATTGTGTTTGCGTAAATTTTCTATATTTTTACATCTTCGTTCCAGGCATTTATCAATCGAAAGCTTTGCAATAAATAAGGAAGAACCTTGTTAGATAAATGCAAGTTTAACTTAAAAACAATTTAGGCAAAAACATGTTTCATATTCATTGAATTATTTAAAATTCTTCATATCAACTGGGGGTCACTGTTATCGTCCAAATTACCACAATACAATGTTGTTATAAATGTGTTCACGCAGGGACCTTCAGAGAATGTATGATCAATTGCTTGTTTCTTACTTATTCTTGAATAGTAAGCAATTTTAACGTTAACATGAGTACTGAATATCTACAAAGAATTATCTCTTTAATTCGAACATCGAATATTTGCACGTAATTACGAGTTATCTACAGATAGGTTAAAAGAGTTGCTATTGTTGTTAATTCTCTCAAAAATATATAAACATGTAAGAGTGTGGAAAATGGCATACAACAAAAAACACGACAACTACAGTACGAAAAGAATCGTAACACTTTTTTAACATTGATAGGAAGGGGCTATCAAAAGTTTGACATATCCTGTCAGCCATGAGTCGAGCATAGTAGGCCTCCCCCAAAGATCGCCACGATGGCCGGTCCTGTGCTACCTACATCCAGGACGCTTCCGCAACCTTGACCATGTCATCGGTCCATCTTGCGGGAGGCCTGCCCACACTGCGTCGACCCGTCCGGGGCCGCCACACCAGGATTTTCCGGCCCCATCGACCGTCCATTCTGCGGGCAATATGGCCGGCCCATCGCCTCTTAAGGTTAACAATTCTTCATTCATCAACATATACACCGGGTCAAATTATTTTATCGGTCTATAGTTGTAATGTTTCAAATGACATTTCACTGAAATGAATAGGAAAGAAACCTCGACGACTGTACTGCTTTTTGCGCAGTATTCCAATTACGAAAGTGAAGTGAAGTACGGATAGTGTTCACGAGCTAATAAAAAGAACAATGTTGACAAAAATATAAGTTTCGTTCTAGAAAGACTAGATGGCGCTGCGCTGTTTAAATGCACGCAAGCGTTGTTTTACTGTTGTTTTTTTTTGTGACTGAGTAATCACTGTTTGCCTTGAAGAGGCATTTACAGCTTCACCGGGCTTGAGGTGGCCGAGCGCAGATGGCGCTTAGCCTGAACTCTTAGTACTCATCCACCGACCCTTTTTTGTTTTATTTATACGGATCCAGGGGCTTTTTGTCTACTAACATTTAAATATATATATATTATTAAGTTACAATATACAAATATAACAAAATAGCTAGTTTTATTCACGTGATCTCCGTTAGAAATAAGACTAAAATGATTTTTTAATATTTTATTACGACCATTAAATTACATTCTAAAACTTATGCTAAGACATTAAGTTATTTGTCCATAAAAAACAAATATCTTCAATCCGAGAATTGCACACTAAACTAGCCAAAGGTTAAATTTAAATAAATATTTGCTTTAAGCAATAATTATCAAATTATTTCTGTTTACGCAAGATATTTTTAATCCGTCCAATTTTTCTTTTAAACCTTGAAAAAACTTTTTTATACTACTGGCTGAATGCACATTATAGAATATTTCATTATTCTTTGTTTCATTTGTGACATATTGTCATCCCTTTCATTCACATCGTATGAATAGAGACAACAATAGGTATCGATACTTGTCTCATAATAGTTGTAATATGAGCTATATTTGATGGCGATTTAATTTTTATGCTCTTATATTGCCTAATTACGTATACAATTTTCGGATTGGTATATTAAAACGAGTTTAATCTAAAGTCGTATAATTATTCATCGCCAAAATCATAATTAAATCGAATTTAATTTTTAAAATTTCGTAATAAGCACTTTTCGAAATTAATATGTAAAAAAATATGTTGCCATTATAAAAAAACATGATTTTTGCATATTTGAAATTATAAAATTTAAAACGACTTTAGATTCACTAAAATTAATATTAATAAAAATTATCTCGATAAAAATATATAAAATTTAAAAAAATACTCCATAAAATATCTGCATTAACATAGTAAAAAAAATTGTCTGCCTTTAAAAAAAAAAAAGATTACCCGTGTATGTAATGGTACCAACATTAATACTATTAATACGGAGATTCAATTTAATAAAACGGACTTTATTTAGAAAGCCAAGGAATACTGACCATACATCTATACTAATTCTTAACCAGTTACAAAGCAGAATATAGTTACATCTCATATAGACACCTAATGAGATGTAACTTTATTCATAGGAAATATTTAATACAATAAAGGTCTGCCTACAGATATGAGAGAACACAACATCGAGTTACGATATGAAAGGACCATGTAAAATCTACTAAACAGACATCAATATCTTTAAAATAACTTTTAACTACTAATTAATTTTTTTATGACTACATATTTGAGACATCGGAATATAAATCTAAAATTTGACAGACTTTGGATTTTCATTCTGTTTGACAAAACAGAGAAGTTACACTTGAACATATTAATACTATGTTTGAATGTTTACATTTTGTAAAAGACGATTACATGAGAAGATATAATAGAATATTTTACATGTTTGAAAAATATATATATGTTCTTTTATATCAGTTGTGAAGAAAAACCAAAATAAACTGTAACTTTCAACATATAAAAATATTTTTAATTATAAAAAGATTATAAAATGATAAATAAATACTGTACTAAAATAATATCAAATATTTATTTTAATGCTTTCCCCATTTTAATAATTGACTGATATTTGCATTTTGTATTTGTTAAAATATAAAAATTCTTTACATAAAATAACTATTTCTTTTCGTGGTTTTTCTTCACATTTTTGTTCATTTTTAATAACCATTACAATGTAAAAAAAACGGCTAAAATTTCCAAGATTTCAGTACTGTTTTTATAAATACGAGACATATATAAACTTAATTAAAAAACTTAATTAAGAAATAAAATTATCAAAAATAATGATAAATGATTTTATTTTAAAACAATGATTCAAATTATAAGTAAACTTCTGATTAGAAATTTAAATAACAAGTCTTATTTTGATTTTGTTAAATTAATAAACAATTAGGTAAATAATTTGAAATAACAAAAATATCTTTGGTTTTGTGTTGAAATGTGCGCATTGCATTAAAAATGAAAAAAAAAATCGTAACTCACACTAAGATTATAGGAAAATTAATTATATTCTTAAAGTTACAATTTCGATGTAATAATGAAAGGGAAGTGTTAAATAAAAATGCATTCTTAATTATAAGAAATACAAAAAAATATATCACACCTCTATCATAGAGTAGGTATAAAATTTAGAAATTTATTCTTTTTGAGTTTTTTTATGTTGGCAGCACTGATTTCCATAAAGAACAATCTAACACTTCCCTTTTCCATTTTTACCTATGTTATTCCACATTCCATGACATTCAAAGGATGCGCATTATAAAACCTTAATATACAAGATTTTATACATTATAAAAGAGTTATATGTATATTAAAGAGAAAAAAGTTTTTCAAATTGAGTATAGACCATGTCAAAATTTATGCGCATTCCAATATCGCACCCTGTGAACCAAATGTCAGTTAAAGATTAAATTTTTTATCATCTAAGATGCCTAAAGGCTGGTTACTTATGAAAAAAATTTCAACAAGTAGATGACAAAGGTTTCGTTAGTTTTTTTTGGGATTATTCTTTTTTTTTTTTTTGTTAATAAATTCAACATTCGCTTAAAAGCCCATTCAAAATCGCATCGTAAGTACTATCCATATTAAGATTATGACCCAAAAGTATGGTTAAGGGTCCAAATTTCCAAGATAAAAACCATCATACCCTTCTAGCACCATAATACATTACAATCAATATCAGTACTTTACATCTGTCAGTGCATTTCCACTGCAGAAACATATACAAAAACATACCTCTCTCACCGTATACATCTTTGTACAGATTTTGCAGTGAAAACACACGACAGACAGTATTACATTAGAGGCCACCATGATAGCTGATCTCAAAAAGCATATTTTATTATTGAATCGAATTTTTAATTCCAAAATAATAAAATAAAAAAATGTCTTTGGTAAATTTTGTTACGTTGTTCAAATGTAATAAAAAATTAAGTTTTTTTTTTAATTATATGGCTTCACAGATTAAAAAAAAAGATAGTGTTACTATCAATCACAAAATAATACTATATTTTGATGATTTTGATCTTCAATTAATGTTCTGAAATTACTCAAATGTAAAAATTGTGAAGAATACAAAGTTACATGTTACATGGATCAAGATGAATTAATCCAATATCCTATATACAACTTTGCTTTAGATATCTATCCATATATCTGGACAAAGTGCATTCGATAACGAACTTCAAAAATGTATAGAACTCTATGCTCTATACATTTTTTACATTCGTTATGGAATCGCTCCGGAGCGAATTCCCTTTGCCCTGCATATGTAGTAATGCCAACGAATGAGGAGAAAAACTGCATTTTAGTCACTATAGCTGTCACCATGATCAAAAAAATTCAAGACTTCAGTCAAATTTCACTCATAAAATAAGTAATTAAAGAACATTCATAATTTTTTTTAAAATATTTTTTTTTAAATCGCTAAAATGACGTATATAATCTTTGACAGATGACAGCGGACTCTTGACGCTAGCGCCATCTACATGAGCTTTCAGTTTTTCCCCTCATTATGTATGCAAATACAGAGTACTATAATAAACATCAATATATACCATGAATATAATACTATTATTTTGAATAAAAGTATAAACACAAACCGTTGCTATGTAAACCCACTTAATTTTTTACAGAGATTTAAACAAATAGAAGAGACCGACTTAAATTGATCGTTTATTTTGATGTTGTGTTTTAAATTATTCAATTATTTTAATAATCAAGACAATTCTATTAATTTAAATCTGTTATCTTTCATAGAACTTAAATATTTTTTTCTGAGGAATATTTTGAACGGATTTTTTTTTTTGTGGGACGGAGAAATATAGTATAGAATAGAAATAAATGTAACAAGTTAATAAAAAAGAGTTGATCTGATCTGATGACATCAGAAACCTAAGATAATACAGAATATAATATTAATAAAATTTCCATTAAACATTGTGAATAATTAGGAGTTATAATATAGGCCAACTACATACAATAATGCAGTAGGAGAATCACACAGCCACAAAGTTTGCATAGCACTGTACTTAGAGAACGGATATTTGGGCAAATCCATCAAGAGCATTATCATTGAAATCAGCATTTGGAGCGGCGGAGTTCTGAAATTTAAAATAATTTATTATAGCATTATATAAACATTTCAAAATAATTAAAAAAAATATAAATAAGATAAATCTTGCACTTCATTAAATAAAAATAGTATTACAGCAATCTAGAGACCAGTTGTTTGGAAACTTTACATTTTCATTTGTACTACATCAAATCATATAGCCTCACTAAATTCGTTTTATCAATGAAGATTTCGTACTTAATATAAAATTAAGACTATCTTTGTGCCAATAAAAATATAATTTTCATTTTACTACATGGTTTAACAACATAAATTCATAAAACTTCGACATATAAATGGTTATCTAAAGGTTAAATGGTTATGATCCCGGTGCTTTCCTTATGAGAGTCCCGAACTCTCACCAGTTGTTCACCAACATAGGTTCCATATCAACGGTACCAAGCTCAGTTAGGGAAGGTAGATTATGATGACTGTTTAATAAATAAACTTACCAGATGGAACGTTATAGTTTTGTATGGCATCTGAGCGTTGGATGATTGAGCGTTGATCAGCTGCTCCAGGTGCAAGGTGATGAGGATAGCGTCTTGTGGCTCTATTAGACCAGCCCCCACCAACTCTAAGGCAATACCTTCAGATGTGTCCTTGCCTTTAACGAAATGAAAGCGAATATCATTTAGTTCACCATGGGCATTTCTGTAATAATAAGAATATATTTTTTAATATACTAATACTAGTAAGATTAAGAATTTGTATAGGTCTTTTCAAATATCTTGGCGGTTCAAGGCAATCTGCGCGCTGCGCAGTGCCCTCATCACCCTGTATCCCACTACAAATAACATTTTATTTTGCGATATTTTTATCATTGTCTTTTTAAAGAGAATGAGAAGCATAACAATATTTTTGTACAAGTATTTAGGAAGTGGAAACCCAAGGTTAGTTGCACTCACCGTATGCGCAGCATGAGATTAACAACGGGCTGTTCCCGCGGATGCGTTGAATTCTGTGAAGTGGATGGCCCCTGTTAAATTAAACATAAAACATTAATCCGGAGTAAAAATAAAATTAATATATAAATTAAACTATTAAATATTATAAAAATAATTCATTTGTTTCCTTTTTTTAAACAAAAAAAATGTTAACGATTTATATTTTCAGATGCAAAAAAATCAATCCAAGACTATAACAAAAACACTTAACAAAATTGACTTTTTTATCTCTTTTCATCTCACAATTTGTGTTTACAACTTCATCTGCAAAATTTTGAGCCAACATCGAGTTTGAATAGTACTATACTTGTTATTTAACCAGCAAGTCAATACTTACAGCTTCTTCAGCATCGCTGCCGCTGGAATCACCTTTTTGGAGTTGATTCATTGGTTTGTCTTCATCCGGAAGTTCATCTTCGGAGGAAGGATGTGCTCTTCCCGCAGCTTCCTCTCCCTCCACAACCAAGTATGCCTCTTCAGCTTCCTCTACTTCATCATCACTCCACTCCCAGTCACCGGTGAGAGTACGATTCAAACGACCGGGTGTCGCCTGCTTCTTATTTACCTAGAAAATTTATTTTTTAATTTATTCATAGCTATCTATTTGTCCGCGACTACGTCCGCGCGAAATTTAAAAAAAATTGTAATTAGTAGTCTATGTGTTCTTTCAGACTATGTTCTATATGTATACCAAATTTCATCGAGTTCTGTTGAGCTGTTCTGGAGATCAAACAAGCATCCATCCATCTAAACAATCGCATTTATAATATTAGTGAGATATATAACAACATACCTTATGTACCCTAGCTTCAAGAGTAGCACTGGTATCAATAAGAGTCTGGGCAAGATACTTTTTATCTTTGGCTTTCTTGAAGAATGGGTGCTTCAACAACTCTGTTGCGGTCGGTCTCTTTGATGGATCCTTTTGCAAGCTATCATATATAAGTTTGCGGAAAGTTTTTCCATAGATCTTATATTGATCTTTTTCAGCACCTAAAAATATAATTCAATTTTAAATAACACATAATTTGGATTGAGCTTTCCTGTAATGATTCTGAATTCCTTAGTTTATTAAACTTGAGCATGACACGACCACTGTGGTGTTTCAGTGGGGCAAAAACAATCCTATCTTCCCCCCTCATAGCAGGTTATCATAGGTAGTTCCCCCACACCTTCTCTCTTTATCCACTTTTTGCGAGAGTATTTCATATCTTACCAGTGTCTAAGTTAGGTGGATCATTCTGCAAAGTCAGCATCAGTACTTTCATCGGTGGATACTTGTGGTATGGTGCTGCACCTGTGGCCATCTCTATAGCGGTTATCCCAAATGACCAAATATCAGCTTTGTAATCATAACCATGATCCTGAAACAAACACAAACATTTAAACACTATATTCCATACATTTGAATTTCATTATTTGATATTGTGATAGAAAAAGTTTTAATACAATAGAAATATAATAAGAGTAAAATGAAATTGTTTATGTATAGCTTATGTTACATAGTTATGTAAGAATGAATTTTGCAGATATGTTGTGAATTTGTTAATTTAAGAGTTTAAGGTGTGGTCCATTTCTTCATCACAATGCAGTGAACCTGGATAAGCGAGAAACATGTCTAAGCAAGACTTTGTCCAGTCTCCACGAACTATCTTCCTAAGCGCTTGGAATCTTATCTATACAGGTTCAACTGTATTTAGTCCTAAATTAATATAATATATAGATACTTTTGGTACAATGAAGATCAAACTAATTACTTTAGCAATAATTCTATATTTCATACTTCGCAGTAAAAACGCTAAGCTCGGAAATTCAATAGATATTGTCTATTTACGCCGCCATTCACAAAGAATAAAGAGAACATAGAGGAGATAGAGAATAAAGTGTGACCAGGAATGAGGAATTGACGCACAGAGACTTTTTATTAATGATAATGATTGCGAGTAATGGAACTCATTTTCATTTCTTTTATTTAAAAAAAATTGATGGTCATTAACATTGGGTGATATAAGTATTTAGTAAGCTTAATATAACAATAAATAAAGAGGAAATGTTTGTTAATATCTTTCATCTCAATAATAATTAACATACTAAAATACAGAGCATGAATAAACATTAGGTAGTTATATGACTTTTTTAATAATAAAATGCACAGCAAATTGGGTAAAATAGTTCCAATTTATAAAGTTAACTTCGCTGTAATTTTGCAAACTGCATGTATTATTTATAGTTTGTTCTTATTACTAAGTTGTATGCAATATTGCTTAGTTGCAAACACAAAGCTGAAACAGTTTTGTTCTTTATTGCAAACTAACTTAAAACATGTAATCGCACATCACAATGCTATGTAAAGTAGAACATTCAAAATTACAAAAATAATGGTCAAGCCAGCAAAATTAACAAAAAAATTACACAATCTGATCTTTTAAAGAATACAGCATTGAAATTTTTGTCCGGTCATAAAAATAAAACTATTAGTGCAGTCAGCAATCTCTTTCAACTTAATTAAAGTGCAATAAGAGAGATTCCACACCTGTGTTGCATTCGCAGTAGCATCATTAATTGCAACATTGCACATTTTAAAATATTAATTAACATTGCAGTAATGCACCATAATGGAAACTTTGCAACGTCGCAGCTTTGTTCGGATCATTGTAGAGTTAAAGAAACATCACCTTAATGAACATATGGCATCACTCTAAACATTGGCTTCCGAGACCTGAATCCCTATATTAAGCATATTGTTATCTCTGTTTTGTCAAAGATAATGAGAGGGATGTTTATGAACATATCAACATTTTATATAAGGATTTTGATCTTAGAAGCCAGCAATGAGACACATTATAAAGAATAAGAATGTTTACTTGTTCCATGACTTCAGGCGCCATCCAGCATGGGGTCCCAACAAAGGTGTGTCTTACTCTTTGCCTGGACATGTCTTTGCCAGTTGCAAGCCAAGCGGACACACCAAAATCAGCTATCTGCACCGTCCCATCTTCACCGAGCAAGATGTTACCCGCCTTAATGTCCCTATGTTTATAAATAAATCATATTTAATATATTAAATAATATGTGTGCAAATAATATGTACATAACTAGGGTAAATTTCAAATAAAATTTTGTAAAATGAGAAAAGACATTGTGATTATAAAATGTTATACCGCATTGCACATGAATCATACAATTATAGCTTTTTTAATAAAAGGCTTCAATAGTATCCAATAAATCGCTTGGCCCACTTGCATTAAAGTCCATTTTAAATTGCTAAGCTCGCTAGACATTGCTCCGTTTTATTTTGGACCAATGTAAATTTGAAGCAACAAAACTTCGCTATGCAACATGTTGAAATTGGATCAATTGGTTTAAATCGCATTTATACAGATTGTAACTTTGTCCCTTTCATTGGACAAATCAGACGCTAAGCTCTCTATCATATTAAACCATTTATCTTTGTCAAAACTCTGAGTTTTCAGCAGTGGTAACTCGCAACTACTTTTAATATTGCTATTAAAACATAGAAACCTACCGGTGGATCTGTCCATTATTATGAAAGTACTCAAGCCCTTTCAAAACTTCCCTTAGAACAGTTGCAATAGTTGCTTCATCAAATACACCATGTTTGCAATTAGACACCTTCATCTTGTGTTTAATTACATCCAAAAGACTGCCACCTAGAAAAAAAAGTAATTTAAATATGTAACATGACTATATAGATCATTACAACTGTTAATACAATTAATATATAAAATTTAAGAGACATTTCAACACATGCGATAAACAGTTACATATATATGAGGTTCTTATGACACTCTTTTCAGCAGATAGCTATCTTTTTTATTTGTGTTGTAATATTTAGTGAAATAAATACCTTCCAGAAGCTTCATGACAAGCCAAAGCTCATCATTGACCACAAAGCTTGTATAGTATGTCACTACATTCTCATGGTTGCAGTTTGACATTGCCTGCAAAACAAAAAAAAATACTAGTCAACCTTGGAAGTGTACAATGCCAAAATTGAAACAAAGTCAAACATCATAAAAACCAAAAACTATGCCTAAACGCTAATTATTTTCATTAGTGAATTATGTGTCTGTAACTTACATGTATCTCCTTTAGGAGTTCCTCCATGGAGGTATTCCATTTCTCCAAATTTATCCTTTTGATGGCACATTTCTCATTCTTTGGTTTACATATGGCTCCGTGTACAACAGCCGTTGCACCAACACCTACAAATAATTGTATAATTAAATAATACTGACTGATTCTATTTTAAAATTAAGGCATTCGATAATCTAAAACTAAAAGCTTTCTTCTTTTTCTTCCAAAAAAACTATTATATTAAATCAATCCGCTGCAAGCATTACTACTTTTACACAGAAAACAGTTATTTAAGATATAAGGTGAATTATAACAAATATTTCATTATTTTGAATTTTGTTTACGAGGTACATAATTTTATTGACCTTTACGCTAATTTAAATTAAAAAGACTGTTTACTTTATGTAAAAGAAGTATCTGTGAGTTTGTGGTATGAAAAACATTTACAATAATATTTACAATTGAAACGTTTTTGATTTGAAAATATTTTGTTGACATATTGGCAGTTCAAATTTTGACACTTCCCTCATATAAAAAATTCTAAGCGATTCTAAGCGAAATTCTATTATTATGTGATAAACTTTTATTAAATTACGATAAAAACATGAAAACTCACTCACCAATGACATCCAGAAGCTCATAATTATCTTCGCCGCTGGGCCACGGGTCACACCCAATTGAGATGACCGCCATTTTGCGTGTAAACCAAACTTTTCCCGTACTACGAGAATTCGGGTTTATCGAGCATGCAGTTTTCATATACGACGATATCGCATTAATTCGACGATCGTATGATCCAAATGACTTCTGTAAGTAATAAAAAGATGTTTCATAAAAATATTTTAAATCCAAAATTAGAAATTGATAATTGAAAAAATTTCGATGTTTAGCGATGGCAATACTAATTAATTATGCTTTGTATACCCCTGAGATTCTACTGTCAAAAAGCATTTTTTTTAATACTTTTATCTCTTTTGTTTAAAGACAAAATGAGAAGGATGACAAAATACTTTTATACAAATTTTTCGACCCTGGAAACGAAGCATGGTCGAAGCAGACATCAGTCTATATTTTTTTTTTAAAGAGAATGTGAGGGATGATGGCATGATTGCTGTTACACATGTACTACAACAATGGAAACTTAATTTATCACGAGTAGAATATATCAGAATCCAAACATAAAATTAATATTATAAAAAAAAAACATACACACGGATTGAGAATCTCCTCCCTTTCGGGAAAAAATGAATTGATATAAAAATATTTTCTTCAATTTATTTAAAAAAAAATGACTACTTCACTTCATCACAAAGAGAATAAGAATAAAATGCCCGCTATGAGTTATTGATCAATTTAAAATCGCCCTACTTATTTTCGCTGACATAATTATTTCATAATACATAGATTGAGTTCACCAGTTATTAAAAATTGCATTATCAGTTTAACCAAATTACTGAGATGTAGGTTTATTGGTTTTATTTTATCTTTTCAATAAATCTGCTAAGTCATTATAATTGAAAATAAAGATGCTTTCGTAGTCGAAACGGTTATTTCTATTTTTAATTTTTTAAAATTAAAATATTTAATTTTTAAAATAGATAATTTAAAAACACCGTTAAGTTACAGCTCTAAGTTTAATGAAGGTTAGCTTAAAATAATGGTACTCGTGACATATTGATCAAATTTATTCTGTATTTTTTTTTTAGTTTACATCTTAAAATTTTAACTTTTTAAACTGAACTAGAGATAAAATGATGTGGGAGGTCAAAGCACTTCGGTGGCCATTCAATAGCTGTTACGGAATATACATTTTTTTCTCTCTTGGCTTAATGTAGAGTTTGATCCACTAACATCTTCCACCTACTAGTCCCCCTAGTTCATATGATGAGTGCAAAAGCAGTACCCTAAGTCTAACCAACCATCACTAACCAAGCTCGTGTCGTCACTAAATGAAAAAAGTGAAAGACGTTGCAGTTAAAACATTATGTACTTACCTGAGCTGACAATTAAAGGTAGCTTGCTGTTAAATAAGAAGAAAGAGAAACAGAGAAATAAGTCACACGGTTTGTTAGGCTGTACACCAAGGCGTTCTATACCTACCATACGTACCTGCCTATATACTCCATTTGCCCCAGGTGGGACAACATCGCCATTGCTGCTGGAAATAAATAAGGTATTTAACATTTTGGATTCACATTTACACTAATTTAATTTAATTTAAATACAAAATAATAATTCAAATAAAAAAGTATTTTGTATTTAAATTACGATTTACTCTAGTTTTTAACGTATCTGATTATAACAAGCGACGTGTTTTAAAAGTAATATGAATATAACTTGAAATAACAGTACATATCATCAAGAGCGTTGCCAATGATCTAGGCTGGATCTAGAGGTGCAGGTAGAAAAAAATCTTTTTTTCGTTGCAAAAGTAGTGTTTATTTGTTACGTTAAAGAAGAAACTGACAAGTCGTTTTTGAATTATCTATATGGATATATAGAAATTATAAATATCTTAGTATTTCGAAATAATTTATGTATATTTTTTTTTATTCTCTAGGGGATGACTGAGGCTTGAAAATATATGAAAATAAATGAATTAAAAACATACAGATAAACTTAGAACTTCCTTCTTTTTTAAATCGGTCTTAAAGTCAAAAGTAATTGGGCATTACATTGAGAAAATTCTAAGCTTTATTAACGTGGAATTATTTTTAAAAGTAAAAAAAAACAATTAACAAATGAAATTTTTCTTCGCCATCAAATAAATTAGAAAATGACATCTATTTTGAAAGTCGACGTAGCTTTTCATTAAATTAATCAAGATTGGGTATTTGTTTAATTTTGAAAGTTCAACGTAATATCCAAGCACAATCAGAGTTACACGCCGGTAATATCGCGCGATAATCAGGCTGTTGTTAAAAATATCAGTTAATTTAGACAATTGATGTTTGCCTTCGGGTTAGAATTATATGGACATGGTTATAAAGGATTTGTTTCCTTCTTATTTTTAAAATATTATTTAGAAGTGATATTACTAAATATTATAACTATCAGATAACCATAATATTAGCCAAATTTCAATTCATTCACCACGCGGATGACCATCATTGAAACATATTTTTATCTAGTTTTGATATGTTTTCAGCTAATTAAACCGTGCTTGTAAATGAAAGTGTTAAAAACAAGAAACATAAATAGTTAATGATATCTAAACACGTGTCAATGACTTTAACACATCGTAATTGTTCGTAAACAGTAAGTAAAGTTGTAGGTTCGATTCACGCCATTCGACTGTCGTAAACAATATACTAGCATCAGCTGGGAGCTTAATTTAATTGTTACAAGAAATATTATTGTAGTCGGGGTTTAACTAAGCGTGCATCTATTTATTTTATGTGCATCGCATATTTAACACGTGAGCTGGCAGAATGATTTTTCGAAAAACGATTTTTTTTTAATTTTGTCCAAAACCATTTGAATGGGGCCTTGCGGGTCACGCTGTAACAATTCGATTAAAAAGCCAATGCGAGGTGTTGAATGGAAGTATGGCTTGTCATACACATAGTCCGACACGGCCTGATTGAAACATTAGCTTGTCGGACATATAGTCCGACATGGCAGCTAACGTGCTAACCATCAGACTGATGTACTTAAAAAAAGGAATGTTATCTAATTATCTGTTTGGTGTGCGAAAACCTTGTACGTCGAAGACAATGTTGACACTGCGGAAATTACTAAGATGAGTAATGCCTGCCCTAAATTTAGGTAATAAAAACCCCCAGATAAAACTATTATTCTGTTTTATCATTGGCAGAATTTAAAAAAAATATTCTTTTCGATATAAAACAATAAATTCCAATCCACAATTTCCTTTCGTAAATAATCCTAGATTAACAATTCTATTTTATAAAATTGTCAAGGGCTGAGATAATTCTGGATATAAAAGCAGACCCAAATAAAATTTATTCATTCAACCGCCGGTTCCAGTAAAATTGTGTGTTATTCCAGTTTTTTTTCTTCTTTACAACAATATGGCTGTTGTTAATATTTTTTTACAGGTGAGTTTTTAAAAAAAAATTACACCTAGAAGTTATCCTAACGTAAATTGTCTTTATCATCTATGTAAGATTTGTTTAGGGCCCTTTTTTATTTTTTATTTTAACCTATATATTCTGGTCTTTGAAAACGTTTAGTTTGTGCCGGAAAGGTGAAAAAAGATTAAATAATATTGATGATGGTTACACGACGAATAAGCAAAACTTATGCCTTACTCGAAAAAAAAAATCTTTGTATTGTTTGTGATGTTGGCAACAAGTCAAATGATACAATTTGTGCTAATTCAATTTCGCACATTAACAACATTACTGTAATATTTTATATTCATAATACTATATATAAATAGATATAAAACTCGTGATTGAGTTACCTTCAAGATGACACTGAATTTACAAAATAAAATTAAGTTTCAACATAACGGATTCGAGTAAGAAAATTTTTATTACTGAGTTAACCAATAAATCATTTTATACGTAATTTTAAGACCAAATGATTATTTTAATTAATCATTAAACTTAACATATTAATGATATCGTAGTTTAAGTATACGAAAGGACAATAGTTTTCTTACTAAAATCCTAAATCTTGAATTAAAAAATTAAGCAAATGTAAAAAGTTATTATACTTCAAAACATTTTTAAATATATTTAAAATTAATAAATTAAAAAATTATAAATTACCTGTTCTTAGATTTTTTCTTCTTAGATTTATTGAGCCCGTCGTCAGTTAATTTGTACATTTTGAAAAAGTTATTAGGATTTAACTTCTTCATCGTAAAGCGTGGTGTCAAATTATACCAACGCCGACGCGTCCCAGAGCATTCTGAAACAAACGTATCAATTATAAATTCGCACGCAAATATTTGCAATTCTTCCTAACTTTTTCGCATTCCATTCCCGAAACATGTTCGAAATCTTTTGTTCCTCTAATTCTCCTTGACAGACAGACGGACAGATGACAATGTGATTCTATAAGGGTTCCGTGATTTTTACTTTCGGGGTACGGAATGCTAAAAAATTTTCGGTAAACGTATTTCGGCTTTGAAAACTAATGGAATTCTTTTACAGCTTTGATTTTGTGTTCGTATTGAATTGTAATGATCTTTTTAATATAATATTTGATAACAGTTTTTAAGTTTCATGTAGTTCGGGGTAATTATAACAAAATAAGTAGGCTGCTGTTAAGGTTAACGCGCATTCGTCGATCCTTGTCCTCACTATCGCCGCGCCGCGACTTTGTTCGTCGCCTCGACATCTCAAATTGAATATTTGCTTAAATATAAGCAACACAAGTTTTTAAATTGTAATTGTTAGATTTTGGAAAAATTTGCGTCCCTTTCATTCAGATATTTAAATATATCGATGACTTCTTGGTAAAAAAAATGGTGGAAAAAATCATTTTACGTATATGCGTGCGTTCAATTGTGTCGGATTTTGAAGATTACAGTCTTTCGATTCATGTTCCTCCACTGAGTAGTATAAAATCATGCGGTTTAACCTTTATACAAATTAACTGAAGTAATACATAGGACCCTAATTATATAAAGCGGCATCTTTTAGTGACTAAGACTTAGTAATTCAATCAAGAATGCACTTGATAAGATTATTACACGTCAATTATCTCAGCGCTAGTTAACAACTACAGTGAAATAAAAAAATACTCGACTAAGACACAGAGTAGAGGGTTCATCCAGTGTATTCGTTGTACACTCTATAAACTCTTTCTACTCTGTGTGCGGAGTTCAATTCTGTATGGTAACACTCCGAATTTCTAAATCCATACTGTTTAAGTTGAATTAAAAAGTATTTATAAATTTACTGTAATTATTTATTAAAATACGAATGGTATTCGCTGGTGACATAAGAATTGGCCACGCCTGTTTAAATAGTTTAGATGTAAAGTTAGAAAGGCTAGGAGAGAGCAAAATGAAAATTTGTATAAAACTACCCTAAACCAGAAAGGATTACGATAGTGTGATTACTAAAATCAATTCATTGGATTAACAAATCCATATTATTTACAAATGATTATATATCTATGCTGTTTTGTACATAAGAGTGCAATAATGCATGAACGACAGGTGCATAATGGCTACATATTAATAAGTTCAAGGCCACAGGTCAACCAAGACAGTGAGACTAGGAAGAACTATTAATTCCAACTCCTTAATAACCAATTAAAATTGATACGAACTTTACATTGGCTCTATTGATTCCCTTAATTATCGAGAAATATTAGCAGACATTTTTAGTAAAGTTTCAAAAATATTTTTAAATATGTAACGTACCTTTTTGTATTTTTAAACCGAAAATTCGAGTACTGTAACATATTCTAAATTTTTTCTTCCTACGCTGCTTCATAAGACTTTAAAAACAAAACAACACAATACTTTTAATTGAATAACAAGAATAATCGTTGTGAAAGGGACGCCTACGCCCTGATCAAACTACGTACGGTCCCGAGACGGTTTATACGTGTTCAACCTTAGAACAGATACGAGCGAAATGACTCGAGTGCCCCCGGGGCTAAGTTACAATTGCAGAGGTCACAAACTTAAATTAACACAAATTTATTTGAGAAAAAACTAAACAAAAAATTTATAAATTATCATAATTCATTATCAGAAAATTATAAAAACATTATTGATATAATTTTTTAAATTAATGCTTTCGTGTACGTCTACTCGATTGCTAAAAGATAGAAAATAAATATACGTTAAGAATTTACGTACGATAATGAAAAATGTTTAGCATGCCTGTTATCCTTTGGTATTAGTGTCGCGATCTCACCGGACGGACGCCAATCAAAGCGCGCAACAGTCGCAACTAATCAACAGTAGGACGTGAGACGGACAACTCTACAAATGCGTCATCTTAACATTCGTCACACCAACAAACCAATACGCCGTGAATTATTTACAATAGAGCGAAATACCAAATAAAACATCTTTATTAAATCCGTCTAAGAAACTAAGTAAGCAAACGTGAAGAGAAAACTTTGAAAAAATTACTTCTTTTTTAGTGTGTGACCGTGTGCAAAATTGGCGAATTTTAATTTGAATTGACACTTTCCGCTGACTAAATACATAAAAATGTTTTCATCCCTCATATTCACTTTTTGTATCTTTTAGTATGGATGTTTCAGTTGTGGGAGCTCTTGTTAAATTTTCAAGTAGGAAAAGTGTAATAAAACTATATTTTACACACAAACTCTGTTGCAAATGCATTAAATAAATTCAATGCTACTCTCGTAGCATTTCCCGCCACGCACAACCGCATTGTGGAACGGTCTATCGATAATATTTCTAAACCAGAGCGACTTAGGGTCCTTTAAGAAGCGTGCGTATTTTTCTCTAAAAGGCCTATGATGTTACTAATAACCAAGCGTCAAAGAACATCTAGCTTCTCATATAAAAAAAAATTAAATCCATTATGAGTCACACCGAATTTGCCCACTAGGAGTAATGATTACGATCCTTTCTTAATTTAACATATTATATATTTTCACTTCCACTAAACTAATTGATATCTCTCCAAAAGACGATAAGAACTGCACTCCTCTTCAATTTGCATATACGTTGAGAATAACCCAGCGTGGTAACTATAGCCATTTATGTTATTGTCTCTTTCCGTTGTTATTTTTAGCTCTATTTTGTGAGTGGGTTCTTTTATAATAGCTAAATATAGCGCAAGGATATGACGGTACAAATAAGCCATCTAAATCTGGATAATAAGTAAAAAATAATACTTGTATTCAATAACCTTCTTCTTCTTGAAGACGGTTAAAAAAAGGGGAAAGTTCACTTTGAGTTTTTCTTTTAATTGCGTATTGATCTTGAATTCCGTCTTTGAATAACTTTAGATCCATATCATGATCATCATCATCATCATCAGCTCACTATACGTCCCCACCAAGGGGCTAGGAGCGTACCCTAAGTTAAGGGTGATCCATATATCTTGTATATATTTACTTTTCTGTATTTACTCCGACGTCTTCCGATAGATTTTAATTAAATAAATGAAAAATACATTTAAACACAGGTATTCTGCGTGGCAGCCATCTTATCCCCTTTATCGGCGTCCGAAGAATCTGCGCAAGATTTCATCGAGCATGTACTAAGGATTCCAAATCCGGATAAAGTACTCAATTCTGTATTGGGACGTCTTGAAAGAAATCGTCAACTAGCACTGGCAGCAAGAACACAGCAACAATACGATGAGCATTGCGATGAACCTTCCGAGGTGACGTACAAGTTGTTTGTCTTCGCCGACGTCGTTTTACTGTTTGTTTGCCCACCTTGTTAAGTAGGTCTCCATAAATTGCTATAAAATCGATCCACTAATGTCCCCACATAATTGCACTCCTCGACCTTTGTAATTATTCACGTCGTTCGTATTCCTTATAACATTTAAGTCCGCGACTCCGTCCGCGCCGAATTTAAAAATACACATTACCCTATGTGTTGTTCCAGACTTTGTTTTATATCTGTGCCAAATTTTGATACGTTGAGCCGTTCTGAACAAACATCCATCCATCTTAACTGTCGCATTTAATAATATCAATAAGATTTTTTTCTGTAATTAATTTTATTATTTAAATCTTGTGTTACATTTAAATGCAATTCATGATGTTTTTACTAAATTAAATAACTACATTTATTACATTAACATTTCTATAAAATGCAAAAAAGTGCAAAATGTCGTATAGCGTGATAAGAAACGTTATATACATTTATTTTTAATATCCGCCTATATCTTGTTACTAAATATTTACCTATTTCTATATGAAAAATATTTGATAAAATACTTGAGATTTTTCCTCTGTTACGAATAATTACATTAAATACATTCTCACACGAATAACCAATGATGTTAATTAATAATTTGAAAGAAAATAAAAAAAAGAAAATACGTATATTTAACAGAATAGAAATAACGATAATGCACAGACACCGGCCGGCACATATACGGGCGTAAGTTTTATAGGTTAAAAGTATGTTGAAGGATTTCTAAAACTCGAAATCAGCGATATTTATATATCCAAAAAGAAATCATAAATCTACAACCGTTCAGAAATACAAATATTTCTATAGGTTATGTTTTTTATTTACAAATTGACAGCAATCAAGTTAAATAAAAACTACGCACCCTTTCGCCGTCTATCCAGTCGTTAACTAATCGAATAACGTTACTTTGATGTATAATTAAGCACAACTATCTTGAACAGGGGAAGCTTCGCCCATGTTTGAGATTTTTATAGTAAATTAAATAACAGTACCGCAATAAATCAATACAGTCGAGATGTGATAGATGCGCTCTCCGCAGGTACCACAGGCGCATGTCCCTTTGGCCCGGTCCAAGCTACTGGGTTTCGTAGTAATAGAATCGCTATGACCTTATACGTAATATATGTACATAATAACTATTTTATTGTAGGTTCTACCTGAGTATACCGAGACATTGCCGGGGTCGCGTGAGCGCGGTCTAAGACAACTCGGCGTACAGGTAGTTATGAAACACTTAAACATACAACTTTATAGAGATATCGTAATATTTCTTCGTTATTGAAACAATGTATACATATTATAATAATTTAAATTTTAGTATAACATTTATTTAATAAGATGCTTTTTAAAATTAAGAATCATTTTTAAGCGTAATTTTATTCAAACTCACCTTTTTAGTTTTTTACACGTATAGTTTTTACATGTATGTACACAATACTTTAATAACTTACATAAATTTAATAACGTTAATAATTAATTTATTAAATTTAAAATATTTTTGAAATAAACACAATATTGTTATAAAATATTATTTAAATGTCGAAAGTGCTTAACTCGCACCGCGTCAGGTTTGCGAATCAATAAACAGGACGATACCTAGGCGTACTCTTTCTAACAGGTTAGGTCAATACGAGAGAACGAGAGCTTTCCTCACCGATTTGGGATGCGAACATATACCAATACGACATACCTTACACACTTAATTTAATTGGCTGCTAAGGGCTAACCTAATGGTTTATACTGACTACCTAAGTAACCCATTTGTAGCACTCAGTGTCAATTATGAGTGTTAATATCATAGAATAAAAAAGATAATATTTTGTTTTCAGAAACATTACCCTATATGTCATTTAGACCGTAAGATCAGAAGGTTGAATACAGATGAATACGAATATAGGCCGGCTTATTATGAAGAGATACGATGCACCGCTTCCTCTGATGATGACGTAACATCCACAAATGAGGTATTATAAATAAATTTTGACAAATTGGTCGATTTCGAGATCATTTAAATTAATATTCTCACTCAGAACCGAAGATTTATGTAATGAGAATTCTGGTTCCTTCTTTCGGATATACATTGATTTTTAAAGCGATTTCTTTTACTAAAAAATTCTAAGTTGTAACTCCAAATTCTGGTATATCAGACTTTGACGGAAAACTTTTGGTTTCAGGAATATTTTGAACGTAGCTGCTAATAATTTCTTAATTTTTAATAATAAAAAAAATATTTCAGATATGCTCGAGTCTTGGATTCTCTTGTGTTCAATGGAATAAAACAATACATTTGACACGTCGGCGTTATTCAAGGTGACAAACTTATAAATTGCAACCCAATAAATTAAAAAAAAACCCTAAAGCCTTTAAATTAGATGTCTATGGGCAGCGGTCACTTTAGTGTTTTAGCAAAACCATGTGACCGCTGGCTCGTTTGACACCTTATAATACAAAAAAAAAATAAAACCTCTTTGGAAATTTACAGATACTAAATTAATACTTTTTCTGGTTATTATTTTAATGTCTATGTTTCAGTGATTGCTGGGAAACAAAAACAATGGTGATCCCGGCCGGTTGTGAATGTATGTGGCCTGTCCATCGCCTCGGCGACATCAATCTACATGTTTAAAACTCTTGCAAATAAGATTGTCGTCATGAAATTTATTACGCTTCTGACCTCATCTCTAGTTAAAATAAAATTAATTTAATATGTAAAAAAATTAGAATTCTTATATATTTTTTGTTTTTGTATTATTTTTGTTTGCATTACTAAAGTTATATAAATTTTATTCGATTAGGTTTTTATTTATGTAAGCTACAATCTAGTCAAATGATTTGTTGGCAACCCGTACTCTGTTTTAGTTAATTTACATAAAAGACCTAAAAGAAACGCCAAACATCTGAATGGTTTTTAACAAGACTTTATAATAGTACAAAATATATCTAGATTAGATTATGAATAATTAATATTTAATACAGTAGGGACTATGTGTAGGCATTATTAAATTTATTTTGTATTCAATGTCTATTAAAATATTAAACGTTAGTTGCAACAAAAAATGTTCTATTTCATTTCTAACAACGACATAGTACTGCTTCTAATGCAATTGTAGTAATGAGTTATTGCTATGATGATTAATGCAGGGGCAAATATATTTCTAACTTACACTTTAATTACAAGGATGTACTCAAGGAAGACAACATTAAATAAACCTACTGAATTGGAAAATGTTAAATAAGTTTTCTAAGAGGGGGAATACGTTACGCATACCGGGTGCTTCGAGGAAAAGCCACTCCGGTTATGTGGGACTCTCTTCACATCCCTAAAGAGACATGAAGCCTACCCACTAAACCCCGTCTGGTTCCCTCGACTCACTGTTTACCGGGGCGTGGGCACATGTAAATAAATACTCTTCGTACACAGCTCCTCCCCCTCTCCCTCCTAGACCTAGCCTAGATCATCGGCTGGCGACGTCTATGAATCTTAAGCAACTATAACAAATTGGGGGAAATGATATCTATACAGACTATTGTGCAAGAATGAATAAAAACGAAAAAAAAGATGACGGAAAAAACATAGTAATAGTCCCCTCGTAGGTTATTTCATCGTAGACGCATGCGCCACAATCAGTGTGTTTCTTGCTTTTATAGAGAGAGGTCGCTCCGATCAAGTTCGTTAACACCATAACATCGTGATCAAGAAATTAGGTACGTCTTTTATTTTAAATAAGCGAATTAAAACAAAGCTTTCATTTCAACTTAAACATACTTAACATTTTTATGTACCAGATTTGTTTTTATATTAATATTTACTATTACTATGATATTAAATGATCTATACATTAGTCTATAAAATTAACAAACTAATATTTAAAAATAGTAAAGGCTTGACGGAAGCTTCCACCATATCCGTGAATTCTTCAGCATCGTATATTTGAATATAAGCATTCTTATTTTATTCAAATGAATTAATATGAAAACTAAACATCTATTTTTTAAAGTATACAATTTTTTCTAAAAAATTGATCGTTTTGAAATGTCTTCTTATAGAGGTAACTGCCGTGACACTTTTTTGTACTTGTATAAATACATATTGTTGTTCCTCTCATTCTGTTAGAAAAAAACAAAGACAAAAAGTGTGTTAATGCTAGTTTCACTAGACGAAACCCACAGTAGAAAAGTCCGAATTTTCATCTGATATAGATTTATAAAAGTTCGAATATATAAATAGTAACATAACCTTTGAACGCAATGGCAATTGCTTTATGGAGTAGATAATTAAATTAATTTTCCTTTAAAACCGAACAACCTCAAGTTAGGAGGATTTGAAGCAGTCTACAATAAAATCTATTGAGCAATTTTAGGATTTTTTGCTAAAAAAGAGAACTTATTTTTAATCATTAAGTGGTTTCAGAAACCAGCAATTACGTCACCTTTGTGCTAACATATTATTACATGACCTTTATCTTGACTTTGTTGCAGACTGTTCTATAATAAATTGTTTACAAAAAATACTTAATTGTATAATTTTTTGTATGCAATTAAGTATTTTGCTTATAAGCGAACTAATACTAGATTTTATAGCATATTTTTTACTTGAAAAGTTTAGTAGTTTTGATTTAAACTTATACTTACGTTGATAACGCGAAAAGCATAATTCTACCACTCCCGATACTTTTCCTAAAGTCTCCAAACTTAACTATTATAATACACATAAAAAATACAGACGAATCGATAACCTCCTTCTTTTTGAAGTTGGCTAAAAATAAAACAGCTTGTTCATAAATGAAAAGGCGGATATTAAAAAAAAAACTACTTAGGTACATTTCCGTTGCAAAATTAAGTAATACCATAAAGATGCCGTTCTAAATATGAAAAAATATCATTTGATACAATCAATTACCAATTTAACCGGTTCGGTAGGGAAAGTACGACCTCGTTAAAAACCAATATCGAGCTAAATCTTACTTCTCCGTTTGTCAGTGCATTCTTGACGCATTCTCTTATTTCTTTATCATTTCTCTCTCGAGTCTTAATTGCCAGTCCCTAAGTACGAAAGAACCATACTTAGGGACTGGTAATATAATTATTGAACGACTCTGAGTACAACAGTTAGTGCACTACAAAATGAATATACTATCCTCAACCCTGGCAACGCCATCTAACACACTTTGAACTTATTACTGCCAGAAGTGAAAAAATCAAACTTTACCTAAAAGGAGTTTCCAGGTGAAAGACCTCCTTTTTATGTCAAATCTCGCAGACTACTTTTTACATTTTTACAATCATTAAGAAAATTTGCTTAAAGCATTAAAATGCCATATTATTTATATTGCAGTAAAATTTTTATTTACATGTTTTATTTCTAACGCACCAGCGAACAATCGTCAAGTAAAGAGTACAATTGCCGAGGCTGTACCTCTATCCACCCCTTTATCGTTCTCCCGTCGATGTAATATCCTTTCCGTCTGTCCGACATCATCTCAGTTCTTTAACCAATAGTTGGATTGGATTCTATACGTGACCAATTTGTACTCATATGTCTATTTGTATAAATTTTTATTGTCGACAAATTAAAAAAAAACTAGGAATATTGCGAAATAAATCCGTCGTGGTAACAATTGGAAAAAGTCTTAAACGGTTCCACTGCTATACGTAGGAGCCGTCGGTAAATGTGTCGCCTACCCTAAAAACTTAAGATGATATAAAAGGTTAAATAGTTGCTAAGATTTTTGAAAAAAGAAAAAATAAGCTTTTTGATTAATGTGCAATTTGTTTTTTTTTTAACCTATAATTCTTAAAAACTCCATTTCGAATTAAAAACAAAACACTTTCACTAGTTTTACAAACTGCCAGATACTTTGAATTGTCTAATATTGACTTATATCACAAAACAAAAGCAATTAGAATTATAAAATTTTAAAGCCGTTGTATTAAGCATTGTATTAATTTCATAGACAAAAACATTACATTCAGTTGCCTATATTTATGTACATTTAAAACGCTCGCTGTATGTCTATGCTTTGCGAATTTTGCAGTGCGAATTTCTAATACATTTATTGAAATTTTAAGTTTCAATACCCATTGTGTACTTTATATTTAAACGTTAAAACAATTTTTACTTTTTAGAGTTGTGCCACTGTTAAGTGTAAATTTAAAAAAATACTTTAATTTTTAACTGGAAACATTTAATGTTCATATTTAATGGAAAAACACCGCTTTTGGACTAAATTTAATAATTATTTTCATACGAATATTTTTTATACATTTACACCGATATTCTATTCTTAACAAAAACTTAAAATCAAGTAAATTATGAATATTACTTACCTTCGATTGATGATTCCATTTTCGGTTTTAGTAAATCTGTTGAAACTTTTGAGTGTTCTTATTTTCAAGGTCAAAGATTTAGCGAAAGTATTAAAACACACTGAATACAGGTACCTGCTATTTATCACACGGACACAAAAACCTGATGAAAAAAAATGTCATTTTGAAAATATTTACACTGGCATTTCTATAAACTGTCATTAGTAACGTGCTGACGATTTCAATCGAATAATTATAACTATCGAATAAACAAACTATACGATTTTATCAATAGAATTTAAATCAATAGTAACAAAAACTGGCCAAGCAACACCACAAAAAACTAGTAAAGAAAAAAAATCGATTTAATTTGTATTTTACTTTTTGTATATCACTATTTATATTTAATGAATAAACTGTTTTTTTATTTTAATAATTTAAAAATAAAAGATTTAAAACGACTATCAAAAACTATAAATCACGACAGCAAATATATTAAAGATTCTTGTATTGTATTTTAGCCAACTTCATTTATTTTTGTTTAATACAAAGTGGCTGAAGTTATTTTATATAATCGGATTGATAATAGGCTAGTGTTAATATGTTAATTGTAAAACCCAATAAGGTAACCCCTTTTTGACGAGAATGTGCCATTTAATTTGTATTCAGCATTATAAGGTAGTGAAGTGAATGTTATTAATTAATATTTGAAGTTGATAAACATGTTTATTAGAATGTTTTCTTTTTAGCGAAACAATTATAATAATTTTCACACTTGTACAACATCAATAACCATGTACATCAATCAAGAAACATATTCAAGGTCATATAAATTTTTATAAGCCTGTAAATTGGTAGAAATGTTAAAAACAACAACAAGAATAAAAAGTATAAAGTTCCTCCTTGATCCCGCGGCGACAAAAAGTGTATTCAAGGTCACATCGCAATAAACAACGCTTGTCCAAGCAATCTTGTTTGAATGTGATTTTCCATATGAGGAATAAAACCAAATCACTAATCGAAACAAATCAATCAAATTGTAAAAAAAAAACTTTAATAGGGCGTTTTAAGGATATCTAAAGGGTTTGAGGTTAAAGAAGCAAACCTTGTTTTTTTAAAAAAAATTATTTATTACTTTTAATGAGACATTTTACTTTTACTTTTCTGATTACACTTATTTGACTATCAATTTTGATTATTTACACTATTTTAACAATGTAACGCATTTTATAAAAGTAATTGGGTACTTACATATTAATTATAACAAAAGTGGTGCGTTCCACAGATATAAAATCTTGCGTAATGATAATTTTTAGGGAACGCCAGATTATACACAATTTTAAGTCAGAACTGACCACAGCCAACCAAACGTTTCACGTTTTAGTACAGACAAAATTAATTTCACTGTGGTTACTAATTGTCTATAGTATTATGGGAATACTATAAACATATCGTGGCTTGATGCTAATTGCACGAGGCCTTACTAAAGCTGAGCACAACGTGTTGCAATTGCATTTTGCAAGTTGCCATTCCATTACATTGCTAAAAATTTGGTTAAACTTCATCTCCATATTGTTTCTTTTAAACCTTCTTTCTTATTTCTTTGCCATCTTCTTGTATTATATTTGGAACAATGATTGTGATAATAAGTCTAAAGCCCATTTTCACCAACGGTCCTCTAAAGTATTATTAGGTAAGTGTCTTTTGGTTAAGGGTCTCCCTAAATCTAAGGCCTACCTAAATTAATTTTCATGATACTATGTCTCACCTATTAAAGGCCTCGTAGTTCAGTGACATTTATTTTTAAATGCTAGTGTTTGAAACGTCGATATCCTATTATGATTTTATCGGTATAGTTATTTTGATGCACTTTTCTTTCCGAGTTCTCCAAAAATAAATATATTGATACTAAAAATGTTACTACATATATTTTCCCCTTTTTTGGTAAACAATTTGGAAGTTTTCGCTTAAAAAATATAAACTAAAAATGCTCAAAGGCTGAAACACTTGAATGCCTTTGCCCGTGCGAATAAATATTCGCTCGGGAATCGGGAACGGACGTCACGAAATGTCATTGCCGCATAATCATTATGGATCGGGATCCGAGAGATGGCAGACTTCAGTTACAGTAATAAGCTTAATTTTAAAGTATTCTTATGCACTATAAGCGAATGGGCATTAGTTATTCTATCTCTTTGGCCAGTTAGCAGCTTTATAGCTGAAATTAAAACACGCTGAGGTACAAAACACACCTAAGTTCACTTACATTTACAAAGTTGATTCTCACACATGTGTTGAAAAATATTGTAACAGTGATGACATAAATACTGCCAGACTCTTTGGGCCGTTTTCGATGATTAATACTCCAAAAATATGACTTTTTTTTAAATGCTTGATTTTTACATATAATAATTATGGGACTATTGCAAGCAGGTAGACGCTTCGGTTCGGGCATATAACCTCCCAGACACTTTAATTGTCCGCGCGGCCCAGACTGTTAGAGTCAAAATAGTTGACTTTATTTATTTTCAAACGTTTAATTTGTATATTTTATACTACTACTACTTGAGCCAGACAATTCGGATGGCGCATATAACCTCCCAGACACTTTGGCGCTTATAGCGTATAACTGTAAATAGTTTATTCATTTTTAAACGCATTTTTGTTTATCTTTGTTTCTTGACGATTCTTGTAGACTAGGAAAATACCAAAAAGAATAATATATTAATAACATTCGAACAATTCTGTAAGAACAATGTAAGGGGTGTTTTTAGAGGTTCAAACATTAAGTTGCTAATACTTCTTTATTTGGTAAATACAAACCAGACGCTTATAAATAATTAAAATTATAGCAAAATAGTAGTTATGTTGGTCAGAATATTTGAACACTTTTGATGTTTTTTTCGTACCTCAATTAGCTGGGATTAATTTTACTGACATGTGATACCAACAGAACGGAGCCACATGCCACTCAGTGCGCGTTAACTTTTAACAAAGAAACTTTGATGAAAGATTTATTTGATATTATGATCCAATTAATTGGTCACCTAGATCGAGTGATTTAACCCCATTAGATTATTTTCTTTGGAGTTGAAATTATTTGTTTATGTTGTCAAAACAAATACAAATGAACAATTGGAAATAAACATTCAGAAACAACAGGAGGGTATTGGGGAAATACGGCCGCAAAAGCTGCGTGAATTGTGTGAAAATGATGCCTAAATCCTTTGTAAATGTTAGTCAATGAACACGTTTTTCATTTAATAAAATGAATATATTTCTATGTCTTATTATGATTTAACTCAAAAAAAACATCAGGGGACCCTTTAATTAAAGGGATGGTTGGTAAAAATGGGCATAAACAAAAGGAATTTTATTTGGGCCTCTATCAACTTTTAATCTCATAGGAACATAAGAAAAAATGTAAAAAGAGAGAATAGATGTTAAAAATTTTCAGTGAGATTCATTTTTAATTAAAATAATTTGTTAATAAAATTTGAAAAAACTTCATATATATCAAACTATGTACAATGTATTCATAATATTACGCTTTTTAGATGATACAAAAAAAATAATTACTTATTTAAAAAAAAATTATGTAAGTGTTCGGTCTCGCGCGTTTAAATCGAATGTACCCTGAACTTGACATCTTTATTTGAGCTAAACGCTAAGTCATCGTTATATTACAACGATCAAGAAGGATTGCATGTTTGTGCGATTTTCGTATGCCCTAATGGCCCGCTCCCACTGGCGTGTGTTGGCTAATGTGCATTTTTAACTAAGCGATTTTGCACATTGTCAACACTAAACTATCTGGAAGCTACCGATGTGGCAAGACTTGAGGAGGTATTGTGAAACCATTTCGCTATTTGGGTGTACCGACCGAGACCGACTCGCTCACTGATGCCCGCAGAATGGTATTATTAAAACAAACATGTTAGAAATATTTCCAAATTTTTTCAACATCCTAAAAATAATCTGAAGTATCTTGAAGGTCAAACAAGTCGATAAAATATTTACTGTCACTTACTATATTTGCATTAGAGCAATGCGTAACTTTTGACAAAATTCAAATCAAAAATTATAGTCAAACTATAGTTTCGACCTTCTAGCAATAAAAAGCCAACCCATTATTGTCCCTTCATTAAGTTGATGACACCTTTTTTTCTTATGTAAGTAGCTTTCGCTGGCGCTATTCTACTAACAGATATGCTACTGTAGCGAGATAAACACCAAGTACTTTTTACAATTTACTTATTAAGGTACTAAAATGTTTTGATTAAATAGAAACCAAGAGTAAATTTCCTGCACTATGTTATTTTGTTGAGTGTGTTAGTGAAGCTATCCTTTACTTATTCAAACAATTAGTAAGCCCAACTGACCGACTAAAAGGACAGCTTCTTTACGGCAATAGATGAAGCCGTCTAGGCTATATGAAGTCATAATAATTAGGATTTACCTTCCTGTTAATCAGACAATAATGTACAGGACGATTTATCTAGTAGGGAAGACATAGTTGCCGAGATCACGTGTCACGACCCGTGAGGTTTAGTTGTTACCTACGTTCGCAGCGACGAGAAAGTTTAGTTTCGCTACTTGTCAAAACCATTTACGTTCACTATAAACATTCACAAGTCAATTAAGATAATGTCGTTCGTATTTTAATAGTATAGTTTTTGGCAAGATGTTATGAAAAAATTAAATAAAAGATAAGAGATGAGAAGCTTTTCTATGTTATATTATCGTTTATGTAACCAACGGAAAGAAACGGCATTTTCTTATCGTTTTCATAATGCATTTCATTGAATAAATTGTAATTTTTAGCGAAATATACTAATTAAATAGTTATCATTTTAAACATCACCAATGGCCATCTATAACGTACAAAATTTGCTTTAATTATTCATTTCATAAGTGTAGTTTAAATTACTTAACAAAACAATTAAAGAAACGTGTGATTCGGTACAACGAAAAACATTCCACTAGTTTAGCGGATAATTTTCGGAAAGTTACGGTCTTTTAGCCCAACACGGCACAACGTAACAATCTTGCTCGTAAGTTATTGCATTACAATGGAAAAGTTCTAAATTTTTGGGACAAATCGACCGCTATGTAGACCGGTGGGTCCGGCCAGAGTTATGCAAAACATCGAAGCATGTAGGGCTGCAGAAATAATGTTTTATACATCTTTTTTTTTATAATTTTGGCAGATTTTTTTGTAAATTTACTAATATTTATTTTACCAAT